AGACTAAGGGGGGATATGATAGAGGTATATAAAATCATGAGTGGTGTGGAGAAAGGGAATAAGGAAAAGTTATTTATGTGTTCCCATAATTTAAGAAGTAGGAGCCACAAAATGAAATTAATGGGTAGCAGGTTTAACACAAATAAAAGGAAGTTCTTCTTCACTCAGCGCACAGTCAACCTGTGGAACTCCTTGCCTGAGGAGATTGTGAAGGCTACGACTATAACAGGATTTAAAAGAGAACTGGATAAATTCATGAATGTTAATTCCATTAATGGCTATTAGCCAGGATGGGTAAGGAATGGTGTCCCTCGCCTCTGTTTGTCAGAGGGTGGAGATGGATGGCAGGAGAGAGATCACTAGATCATTACCTGTTAGGTTCACTCCCTCTGGGGCACCTGGGATTGGCCACTGTCGGTAGACAGGATGCTGGGCTGGATGGACCTTTGGTCTGACCCAATGTGGCCGTTCTTATATTCTTATGTTCCTGCCGGACGCTCGTTTCCAGGCTATAGTGGCCCTTGTCTGGAGCCTTCAGAGCTTCCCAACCTCATCGGCAAGAAGGTGCTTGAGTCTTCTCGGACACATGACTTCCTGCACATACATGACTAGGCATGCCAGACTTCAACTCCGCCCATTACAAGCCAGGCTGGCATCAGTCTATCGCCCAGGTCGAGAGAGCCTGAACTTGGTGGCCACCGTCCCAGAGCGGATCCTGGCCTCCCTCCACTGGGGGCTGGATCCCCTGGTGATATGCAAAGGAGTCCCTTTTCACAGCCCACAGTCCTCCTTGTCCCTTATCATGGATGCGTCACCCTGGGATGGGGTGCCCACCTTGGGGACATTCAGAAGCAGGGCCTATGGTCCCCTTCCGTGCTCTCCCTTCATATCAACGTACAGGAACTGATGGCGGTACGCCTTGCCTGACAAGCCTTCCAGGAGCGGCTGCACAGTCCTTGTGTGGCGGTCCTCACAGACAGCACCATGGCCATGTTCTACATCAACAAACAAGGGGGGGGCCTGTTCCTCCCCCCTCTCTCAGGAGGCAGTTCGACTGTGGGAATTCTGCATAGCCCACTCCATTCACCTGGTGGCGTCCTTTCTCCCTGGGGTCCAGAACACGCTGGCGGCCCACCTAAGCAGGTCCTTCCGCTCCCACGAGTGGTCACTCCGACCAGATGTCATCCACCCCATCTTCCGAAGGTGAGGGTTTCCCCAGGTCAACCTGTTCGCCGCCCGCAGCAATTGGAAATGCCCGGCTTTCTGCTCCCTCCAAGGCCGTTCCCCGGGCTCTCTCACAGATGCCTTCTTGCTCCTGTGGATGGGTTGACTATTTTACACCTTTCCCCCGTTCCCCCTTGTGCACAGGGTCTTGCTCAAAGTGCACAGGGACAGGGTGCGAGTGAGTCTGATGGCTCCGGCGTGGCCCAGACAGCTCTGGTTCACTGTGCTATTGGAGCTCTCTGTGGATGCTCCAGTCCCATTGCCTCTTCTTCCCGACCGATTACTCCGGATCACAGTCGCCTCTGCCATCCCGACCTGCGATCTCTCCACCTCACGGCATGGATGCTGCTTGGCTAAACCCTTCAGAATGTGTCTGTTCAGATTCGGTGCAGCATGTGCTGATGGGCAGCAGGAAGCCCTCCACTCAGGTCACATGTACGGCTAAGTGGAAGCGGTTTTTGTGCTGGTGCGCTCAGTGCAACACCCCCCTCTCCAGGCGTCCGTGCCGCTCATTTTGGAGCATCTCCTGAGCCTAAAACAGCAGGGCCTGGCGGCATCCTCTGTCAGAGGTCACCTTGTGGCCATCTCGGCTTTTCACCCAGGCGCAAATGGTCGCTCAGTCTTCGCCAATCCCATGGTTGGCAGGTTCCTCAAGGGCCTGGACCATCTCTACCCACAGGTTCGACAGCCAGTCCCCACATGGGACCTTAACCTGGTCCTCTCCCAACTCATGGGGCCCCCGTTTGACCCACTGGCCAGCTGCTCCCTCCTCTGCCTCTCCTGGAAAATGGCTTTCCATGTCGCTATCACGTCGGCACAGCATGTCTCCAAGCTCAGAGCCCTTACCTTGGAACCACCCTACACAATCTTCCATGAAGATAAAGTGCAGCTTCGGCCCCACCCAGCCTTTCTTCCCAAGGTGGTATCTGCCTTCCATATCAGCCAGGACATTTTTCTTCCAGTTTTTTATCCAAACCTGTATGCCAGTCGCCAGGAACAGCGGCTGCACTCCCTCGATGTCCATAGTGCCCTTGCCTCCTACATCGTGTGTACGAAGCAGTTCAGGAACTTGACATAGCTCTTTGCTGACGTGGCGGACCAGATCAAAGGCCTCCTGGTCTCCTCTCAGTGGATCTCTTCATAGATCATGTCTTCATCTGCGCTTGCCCTCATCAGTGGCTTTTCTGGTCCAGGTGCCGATCCAGGAGATCGGCAGAGCCACAACTTGTTCCTCGGTACACACTTTTGCTTCGCACTATGCCATCATCCGACACACAAGAGATGATGCGGCATTTGGTAGAGTGGTCCTACAATTCAGGTTGCTCCACTCCGACCCCACCGCCTAGGTAAGGCTTGGGAGTCACCTAATTGGAATCAATATGAGCAAGCACTCGACGTAAAAACAGTTACTCACCTTTGTAACTGTTGTTCTTCGAGATGCGTTGCTCATATCCATTCCAAACCTGCCCCCCTTCCCCTCTGTCGGAGCAGCTGGCAAGAAGGAACTGAGGGGGTGATGGGTCAGCTGGGATATATATTGAGCGCCATGAAGGCACCACTCCAGGGGGCTCCAAAGCCAACCCACCGGGTGTTGCTAGGGTAAAAAATCCTCCGATGGCCATGCACACAGCGCGTGCACACCTAATTGGAATGGATATGAGCAACACATTTCAAAGAACAACAGTTACAGAGGTGAGTAACCGTTTTTTCTTTTTCATGATCTCGGGCTTAATGTCTCCATAACCATACATGGGAGTGAACCTTCTCCTGTAGTGCTAAGTGTCATTTCCTAAACAGTCTGAAAGACAACCACAAAATAGAGCTTTCGGAATAAATTTCAACAAAATCCCAGCCTGCTTGGGTTCTTCTTCATTAGAAGATTTTAGGCCTTTTCCCACAATTCCATAAGCTGTCTGTCCTGTCACTAGATCATAATAACCATTAGTCCCATTCTCACAACTCTTCTTCAGGGGACTTGATAATTTGCAAAACTGTTTGCAGTGAAACTTCAAAAAAAGCCCTCTGCCCGTGCCCTAGGAGACAGAGGGACTAAGAAACCCTTGCAAAGGGTTGTCCCCCAGCATCCAGGTCTCTAATACATATCTTATGGTCGCTGAGTCTTTGGAAGCCCCTCCTACAATGGGCAGGGTTTCTCCCATGCTAAGGGGAAGCCCCACTCCACCCCTGTTTGGTGGGGCTACTCATACACACAGAGAAACCCTGCCCATTGGGGGAGGGCTTCCCCCAAGGCCTTGTTATAAAAGATAGGGCCAGTGCTTTGCCAGCTTAGTTTGCATAACAGGCCATGCCCCTGTGGGTATGGGAAGGGCAGTGACCTTCTCCTGAAGATCCTGATACCTAACCTGGAGGATCATGGGCCATTGGCCTGCCCAAAATTTGAAATTGGGTTCTGGCTACAGCCCTACCTCAAACACTCCCAGGGCTAAGGGGGAGCAGGGGTCATGTGAAGAAGGGGTGTTTAAGGAGGAATTGAATTTTAGGGGGGTTATAGGTGTGGTCAAGTGGCTAAACCATCCTCTGCTAGCTGCTGCCTCCTTTACTTTGATTGTAAGCCCTTCGGAGCTTTCCACTGTGTGTGTAAAGGACCTATCACAATGGGCCTTGCTCCTTGGTTGGGGCTTCCAGGTGCCACTGCAATACACGTAATTAATAACAATAAAGAGCTGTTGGTTTACTGAGGAAGGGGCACAGAGTGCTGGGGTGCCATCAGAGAGCCAGGAGTTCGGCATTGTTTGCACTGTGGAGTCTGGGGGCTCCTCAGAGGAAAACGGAGTCTCTAAGGTTTAGGTTGGGAGCAGTGAGGAGATAGAGGGGTTGGAATAATCATGGTGGGAGCCATTGGGTCACAGGAGCTTGTAGGGGTGTACTTTTGTGGGGAGCCTTGGAGGCACTGTGGGTTAGGAGGAGCCAAGGGAGCGAGGGAAATACGAGTCTATCACAGTTATGGGGGAGCAGCCATCTAGAGAGCTGGGTGGCTTGGGGCTTGCCTCAAGTTGAGTTGGGGGACAGTGGGTTATGGGGGAAACTAGGTGATTTGGGGAGGCATGAGGATTGAGTGAGGTGTGGAGACCCAGAACTTGGTGCCCTGCCCATGTTGATCAAGGTGATATGGAACTGAGTGGGAAGAGAAAGTTTTGCTTCTGCTGGTTAGCAGGGCTGGGGTCGCAGGGCAGCTGCACATTGACTTAGGTTACTCAGGGGTTTTGCCATAAACATTAGCAAACATATTCTGTGCAAGACAGTGTAAGAATAAAGCAACTTGACAGATATTATCAGCACTGCACTGTAAATATGCAACAGCAATGGACATTTCTGAACACACGTTTAAGCACATTTTACTGACTTTTCTCCCAAATGAAGTTTTCCAAAAACAGCTCCAAAACATTTATTTTTAAATTAAAAACCACCTGTTTGTGACACAAATTGCCCTGTTCCTGTAAAGCATGGCCTTACTGGCGAGAGAACCTGTTGGGAAGGTTGCAGAGAAAGGAAGGATAGTCCGGTCAGTAGGGCACTAGCCTAGGATTTGGGTTCAAGTCCCTGCTGTGCCACAGACTTCCTGTGTGATGTCACTCAGCCTCTCTGAGCCTGTTTCCCAGCTGTAATTGGGGGATAATAGCACTGCCCTGCCCACCGGGTGCGTGAGGACAAATATGTTAGATTGTGAGGCACTTAGACGCTACAATAGTGGAGGCCAGGTGACTGCCATAGGCAGATGTTTGCAAAGTGAATTAGTGATGGAAATTCTTTTTCAGCTTCTCAGTGACAGGGCTGTCAAACTCCCACGGCATTCTGAGAGCCATTCAAGATGTCAAGCCTGAAGAAGGAACCGAGACCCCAAAGTCCATATTTTCTTTATCACTGTCTCAGCCTTCTGAGATTGGTTACTTAAATGTGGCTTCACCTGGAGACACCGCAAACTTCCCAACTCAGCCTCAGAGTCCAAGCTTCAACTGCGATAGCATCTAAGAGGGACTACAAGGAGCTGCTCTCTGCTTGGACTGCGGCTGTTGGCTTCCCGCTGCAAGGGGCCATGCGTCCAGCTGGATCACTGTGTGTCTAATAACTCGTTCAATTAACTTTGTGATTTTCTCAGCTCTTATTTGACAGCTGTTATGTCAATCACTTGCCCGGCTCTAGCGTCTCATCCCAGATCTCCCTGGAATTTTCACAGATCTAATTAAACAAGGTTTTTTTAAAAGGGGTGTTTGTCATTTGGTCTCAACTCCTTGTGTGATCTAGACATGTTCACAGGCCGGGGCCCCAATCCTGCCTCCGCACGGGCCCACCTGCACTCACAGCAGGGCCAGGGCCCTGATCCTGCCCTCCACGTAGGTCTGCCCTGCCAGGGCCAGATTAAACTTTTGTGGGCCTGACGCCAAATATATTTCTGAGCCCTCACGTAGTCGTTATGGACCCTTTCAAAGTGTGGGCCCAGTGCAACGGTGCCACAGTAAACCTGGTCCTGCTGGGATGGAGATGAAAACATTTATTCAAAAACAAAATAAGATATTTGAAGCCATACTTGATTAAGACCTTCCCTTAGTCCATAGAGAACAAACTGGGCTAACATCAATATATTCAGAATACTCTTGAATTTGGTTTACTTGTGTGGGAGGAGGTTCTTTGTTAGTTTTGCTTTTTTTGTTAAAACACTCAGGGCCTGCTTCTGGCCCTGAACACAAGTGCTTAACTAGCACATTTATGAGCCATATTAAACCCCAATGTACCCCTCAGTAGAGTTGCACCTTCATCTCCCCTCCACCCTCTCCTTATGTTTCATAAATACAGTTTTGAAAGCTGGATTTTCTAGTTTGGTACAATGATGTTTACAAAACTTAAGTTACTGGGGTGGAGTGTGGGGAGGAAAATTGCTGGTGCTGGGAGAAGACTACTGAGAGACACACACACACACACTCTTTATCACAAAGGCTACCACAACCCAGCCTCAAGCCTCTACCCCAACGTTCACACCTGGGCTCTCCTCTCCCTGTCTCTCCTACTGCCCCCCCCACACACAACTAACCCCGACCTTCACACAAGGGCTCTTCTCAATATCCCTGCTACCACTCACCCCCCACACACACACTTTCACCCCAGGGCTGTCACCTTCCTCCCTTCTACTGCCCCCCCAAACCAACCCCCCAGCTTCAACCGGAACTATCCCCTCCTTCTGCCCCCTCCACCTTCACACCCTGCTTCTCCTATCCTCCTCCCCCACAGAGCCACCACCAGCTTCCCCCATTGAACCCAGACTCACTCCACAACTGCCCCTTCCCCCCAAGCCGTGTTCTGCCCTCCCTGGAGGGCGGGGGCAGTTGCTGGGCATTGCCACAGGCAGGGAGCGGGCAGCCAGCCCTGCTGTCACCGCCCCCCTCCCGTGGGGGCCACAGACAACCACCTTCAACCCCCCCGATGCAAAGCTGCAGGGTCCAGATGGTGCCCAGGAGCCCATGGCCGGGAGGGCTGCACGCAGGGAGTCAGAGCACCACGGCCGCTCCTGGCTTCCCACTGCCCCAGGAGAGCGGGACAGACTCAGGGGTGGGGTGAGCCTCGAGCCCCTCCCGCCGTGCCCCATGGGGGCAGGGGACCAAGCAGGGTCAGCACTGGGAACTCTCTCCCTGCACTATTTCCTTGCTGGGGGGGTTGGGTTTTTTGTTTTTGGTCTGCCCGCTTCACCTGGGGCAGCCCACAGCATTGCGCGGGGCATGCTGGGACTAGTACTGCAGCTGGCAGCGCAGATCCCAAGGCCCCAGCGGAACGCAGTGGCGTGCAAACCATACCTCCCAGCATACCTTGCAACACCCAGTCCCTGCTGTGCCTGCGCGCGGTTTCAACCAGCACTGAGAAGTTGCTGACTTCACATTGCTGGGCTGTGGCCAGGGCTGGATTAACCCTTTGTGGGCCCCCAAGTAGTCACATGGCCACTTCCAAGTGTGGGCTTGGTGCCACTGTAAACCCGGTACTGCATCCTGCGGTCACAGCGGGACCTGGGCCCCAATCCTATCCTCCAGACAAGCCGGCCTGGCCTGCATTGGGCAGGAGGGAGACATGAGACTGGGTAGGCACTTTTCCCGCCCGCTCAGGCGACCCCTTTTCTGCACTGGAATTTGCTACCGGTAGCAGTTACTCATATGTAAGGGATTGTAGAAAACTCCTATCTGATGTAATCTGATGGAGTTTGAAGAACAGCTAGCCAAAAACTCAAAAGGTAGTAACAAAAAGATTTTTAAGTACATCAGAAGCAGGAGGCCTTCTAAACAACCAGTGGGGCCCCTGGACGATCGAGATACAAAAGGAGCACTTAAAGATGATAAAGTCATTGTGGCAAAACTAAATGAATTCTTTGCTTCAGTCTTCACGGCTGAGGATGTTAGGGAGATTCCCAAACCTGAGCCGTCTTTTGTAGGTGACAAATCTGAGGAATTGTCACAAATTGATGTGTCACTAGAGGAGATTTTGGAATTAATTGAGAAACTTAACAGTAACAAGTCACCGGGACCAGATGGCATTCACCCAAGAGTTCTGAAAGAACTCAAATGTGAAATTGCGAAACTATTGACTATGGTTTGTAACCTGGCCTTTAAATCAGCTACTGTACCCAATGCCTGGAAGATAGCTAATGTAATGCCAATATTTAAGAAGGGCTCTAGAGGTGATCCCAGCAATTACAGACTGGTAAGTCTAACGTCAATATCAGGCAAATTAGTTGAAACAATAGTAAAGAATAAACTTGTCAGACACACAGAAGAACATAAATTGTTGCGCAAAAGTCAGCATGGTTTCTGTAAAGGGAAATCATGTCTTACTAATCGATTAGAGTTCTTTGAAGGGGTCAACAAACGTGGACAAGGGGGAATCCAGTGGACATAGTGTACTTAGATTTCCAGAAAGCCCTTGACAAGGTCCCTCACCAAACATGAATTAAGTTGTCATGGGATAAGAGGGAAGATCCTTTCATGGATTGAGAACTGGTTAAAAGACAGGGAACAAAGAGTAGGAATAAATGGTAAATTTTCAGAATGGAGAGGGGTAACTCGTGGTGTTCCCCAAGGGTCACTCCTAGGACCAGTCCTATTCAACTTATTCATAAATGATCCGGAGAAAGGGGTAAACAGTAAGGTTGCAAAGTTTGCAGATGATATTGAACTGCTTAAGATAGTTAAGACCAAAGCAGACTGTGAAGAACTTCAAAACGATGTCACAAAACTAAGAGACTGGGCAACAAAATGGCAAATGAAATTTAATGTGGATAAATGTAAAGTAATGCACATTGGAAAAAATAACCCCAACTATACATACAATATGATGGAGGCTAATTTAGCTACAACTAATCAGAAAAGAGATCTTGGAGTCATCGTGGATAGTTCTCTGAAGACGTCCATGCAGTGTGCAGCGGCAGTCAAAAATGCAAACAGGATGTTAGGAATCATTAAAAAAGGGATAGAGAATAAGACAGAGAATGTCCTATTGCCCTTATATAAATCCATGGTACGCCCACATCTTGAATACTGTGTACAGATGTGGTCTCCTCATCTCAATCCCGCCCAATACTGGCATTAGAATACACTCAGAGAAGGGCAACTAAAATGATTAGGGGTTTGGAGCGGGTCCCATATGAGGAGAGATTAAAGAGGCTAGGACTTTTCAGCTTGGAAAAGAGGAGACTAAGGGGGGATATGACAGAGGTATGTAAAATCATGAGTGGTGTGGAGAAAGTGAATAAGGAAAAGTAAAGTATCAGAAGGGTAGCCATGTTAGTCTGGATCTGTAAAGGCGGCAAAGAGTCCTGTGGCACCTTATAAATTAACTGATGTATTGGAGCATAAGCTTTTGTGGGTGAATACCCACTTCGTCAGAAGCATGTAGTGGAAATTTCAAGAGGCAGGTATAAAAGAAGGAAAAGTTATTTATTTGTTCCCATAATATAAGAACTAGGTGCCACCAAATGAAATTAATGGGCAGCAAGTTTAAAACAAATAAAAGGAAGTTCTTCTTCACGCAGCGCACAGCCAACCTGTGGAACTCCCACAGTATTCTTGTCTCCCACAGTATTCTTGTCAGCAAGTTAAGGAAGTATGGGCTGGAAGAATGCACTATAAGGTGGGTAGAAAGCTGGCTAGATTGTCGGGATCAACGGGTAGTGATCAATGGCTCCATGTCTAGTTGGCAGCCGGTATCAAGTGGAGTGCCCCAAGGGTCGGTCCTGGGGCCGGTTTTGTTCAATATCTTCATAAATGATCTGGAGGATGGTGTGGATTGCACTCTCAGCAAATTTGCGGATGATACTAAACTGGGAGGAGTGGTAGATACGCTGGAGGGGAGGGATAGGATACAGAAGGACCTAGACAAATTGGAGGATTGGGCCAAAAGAAATCTGATGAGGTTCAATAAGGATAAGTGCAGGGTCCTGCACTTAGGACGGAAGAACCCAATGCACAGCTACAGACTAGGGACCGAATGGCTAGGCAGCAGTTCTGCAGAAAAGGACCTAGGGGTGACAGTGGACGAGAAGCTGGATATGAGTCAGCAGTGTGCCCTTGTTGCCAAGAAGGCCAATGGCATTTTGGGATGTATAAGTAGGGGCATAGCGAGCAGATCGAGGGACGTGATCGTTCCCCTCTATTCGACATTGGTGAGGCCTCATCTGGAGTACTGTGTCCAGTTTTGGGCCCCACACTTCAAGAAGGATGTGGATAAATTGGAGAGAGTCCAGCGAAGGGCAACAAAAATGATTAGGGGTCTGGAACACATGAGTTATGAGGAGAGGCTGAGGGAGCTGGGATTGTTTAGCCTGCAGAAGAGAAGAATGAGGGGGGATTTGATAGCTGCTTTCAACTACCTGAAAGGGGGTTCCAAAGAGGATGGCTCTAGACTGTTCTCAATGGTAGCAGATGACAGAACGAGGAGTAATGGTCTCAAGTTGCAGTGGGGGAGGTTTAGATTGGATATTAGAAAAAACTTTTTCACTAAGAGGGTGGTGAAACACTGGAATGCGTTACCTAGGGAGGTGGTAGAATCTCCTTCCTTAGAGGTTTTTAAGGTCAGGCTTGACAAAGCCCTGGCTGGGATGATTTAACTGGGAATTGGTCCTGCTTCGAGCAGGGGGTTGGACTAGATGACCTTCTGGGGTCCCTTCCAACCCTTATATTCTATGATTCTATGAACTCCTTGCCTGAGGAGGTTGTGAAGACTAGGACTATAACAGGGTTTAAAAGAGAACTGGATAAATTCACGGAGGTTAAGTCCATTCATGGCTATTAGCCAGGATGAGTAAGGAATGGTGTCCCTAGCCCAGAGGGTGGAGATGGATGGCAGGAGAGAGATCACTAGATCATTACATGTTAGGTTCACTCCCTCTGGGACACCTGGCATTGGCCACTGTCAGTAGACAGGATACTTGGCTGGATGGACCTTTGGTCTGACCCAGTATGACCATTCTTATGTTCTTATGCTACCAGTAGCAGTGAATTGTTACCAGTAGCAGTTACTGATACCTAAAGTTGTTCTTATTTGCTGACTTGTCCTAATTCCTAAAACTTGTCCTAATTTGCTAAAGCTTTACAGTATGAGATGGAAACATAAAGTGTTCGGCTTCCAAATGACCCTGCCTGGGGTACATATGAATCAATTACCTCTTAAGAGAGGATTATAAAAAATAGAGTGAGTTCATTTAAACATCATTTATTCTGCAGCTTCATTTACTGTGCCATCCTGACATTGACATTTCTGCCCAAATTACCTGTGGGTTGGATTAATTTTAGTGGGACGCGGGACATGTGGAGGATAATTTAAACTCTTAATTTTCTTAGGGTTTGCCTTCAACATACTTCTATGTTAGTGCAATCTCTGACCATTACATTTCATCAACTCAGCAGGCAGCCACAGGCAGCAATGCACTTGTCCTATTGCCTTGACTGACAAAGGTTTCTGATCAAAGGGAGGCTAGATTCCAGCAAGCTCCTGGGGTAATATCTCATTGGAGATGAAGGGGCTTGTTCAGAGAGAGATTTTGATGTCAGTAAGGTAAAGATGATCCAGATGGGTTTGTCTCCATGCAGGTGTATTTTAGTCTCTGGCTGGGTAGAAAGGAGAGAGAAGTATTTTGGATTTCCTATTTCCCTTACTGAGAGCTATCTATGCTCACCTGAATTTTTCCTGATAGAAGCAGTTCCTATCTATTACAGGTCAAAATATGGCTGCCATCACACAGAGGTGGAGGTGAGAAGAGGGCCAAGAAGTCCTTTCCCTCCCGCAAACACACCCATTCATATGGAAGCCATAATGTTGCTGCTGCCTAAATACCCTGATGGCAAACGGGTAGGGGCAGGAGGCACTGCCAGCTATACTTAGCACCCCAAAGGAGCCATGCACTGTGTGGAGTGTATGCTGAACTGGTGAGGGCAACCCTTACTCCCCAGTGAGGGTCAGTTCCTCAGGATAGGTGCATCAGCTATTAGCCAAGATAATCAGGGATGCATCCCCATGCTGCGGGTCTCCCTAAACCTCCGACTACCAGATGCTGGGAGTGGATAAAGGGATGGTTCACTCAGTGATTGCCTATTCCGTTCATTCCCTCTGAAGCACCTGGCCCTGGACACTGTCAGACGGCAGGATACTGGACTAGATGGACTATTGGTCTGACCCACTACAGCAGTTCTAATGTTTAGCAAAAATTACAACAGATTTTTGCTTTTGAGAAGAATGTCACATGAGATAGTATACTGCCTCTACTGAATATTTGAGAATCAAGTTCTACACACAAGCAATGGCATACGGAAAAACACTAAGGGCTGGATTGAGAGGCAAAATAACAGTTGCAAAAGGCAATTGCCATTAGTGGATTGAATGAAAACAAAGTTTTGAGACCAGGCCAGAAATTCAGTCAGACTGGAAGTCAGATGATCCAACAGAATAAACTTCTGCTCTAAAAATAATAAGAAAAAGTTAAATTAAAAATTCCGACTTGGAAATCACAGTAAAAAACAATACTAGAAACATAGATGTCGTTGTTCAAACTACTAGCAAGTACTTATACATCTTTTCAATGAGTCTTGTTAAAATATAAATTAAATAGCACAGTGAGATGCATCTGCGGCATCTAAGCTCAGTGAGGACGTGCTAAGGGGAATTCAGGGAAGCCCAGCAGCAGATCAGACTGAGGGTGAAGGGCTACGAGACTTGACGCGGTCAGATACTCGGGTACGGGATGCTGCCTTTGGAGTAAAGCATCTCACCGAGCCAGGCTCCGGCAGCCCCGCGGCACCCCTCACCAGAGCGAGAGGCGCTGCAGGGCCCCGGCCCTGGGATTTCTGGGCCGCCAAGAACCAGCCCTGCGGAGCCCGTGCTGAGAGGTGCCGCCTCCGGGCGGGGGGGCAAAAGGCCCCCGGCCCGGCCCCCGCAAACACGGGGTCTGCGCCCAGCGCCGGGCTTTTGCCCTCTGCCAGCGCCTCGCCCCTGCGTTTAACTCCGGCTCCTGATTTTCCCCGTCAGCCCCAGCCTGGCCCTGCCTCCCGCCGCCGCCGCCCCCCGTCGATTTCCGCCCCCCGTCCAGACCCTGGCCTCCCCCCGGCTCCGCTTCCCCCTTTGCAGCCCGCGTAAAGAGCAGGCTGCAGAGCCCCACCCCGGGAGGGGGCAGATGTTACTGCGCATGCTCCGTGCCCCCTACCGAGCACGTTCCGACAGCCACAGCTTCGGGCACGACACAGGCGCCTCCGCGGCGACCCCTCCCGCCCCGAGGGCGGAGCACGTGCTGCTGCGCACGCGCGTGCCTGGGGCAGGCCCGCCATGTTGCCGGCGGCCGGGTTCCGGTTCCGGTTCCGGGTGAGGCTGGGTCGCCATGGCGGTGCTGGCCGCCAATCCCAACAACCCCGTGGTCTTCTTCGATGTCAGCATCGGCGGCCAGGTGGGGGCTGGGCCACTGCGGCGCCGGGCCCGCGGGAGTGGGGGGGGGCTCGGCTCGGGGGAAGAGGCGGCCGGGTGCGGGGGCCCGGGCCCAGGGGTTGCAGTGGGGGGCCCGGGGGAAGAGGCGGGCGCGGCGGCCCAGGCCCAGGCCCAGGGGTTGCAGTGCGGGGGTCCGGGGGAAGAGGCGGGCGCGGCCGGGCGCGGGGGCCCGGGGGAAGAGGCGGGCGCGGCGGCCCAGGCCCAGGCCCAGGCCCAGGGGTTGCAGTGCGGGGGCCCGGGGGAAGAGGCGGGCGCGGCGGCCCAGGCCCAGGGGTTGCAGTGCGGGGGCCCGGGCCCAGGCCCAGGGGTTGCAGTGCGGGGGCCCGGGGGAAGAGGCGGGCGCGGCGGCCCAGGCCCAGGGGTTGCAGTGCGGGGGCCCGGGCCCAGGCCCAGGGGTTGCAGTGGGGGGCCCGGGGGAAGAGGCGGGCGCGGCCGGGCGCGGCGGCCCGGGGGAAGAGGCGGGCGCGGCCGGGCGCGGGGGCCCGGGGGAAGAGGCGGCCGGGTACGGGGGCCCGGGCCCAGGCGTTGCAGTGCGGGGGCCCGGGGGAAGAGGCGGCCTCGGCGGGGTCACAGCCTTTAGACGGGCGGCGCCCAGCGCTGATTCTCGCTGTCCCCCCAGGAGATCGGCCGCATGAAGGTGGAGCTGTTCGCTGACGTTGTGCCCAAAACGGCGGAGAATTTCAGGTAACCTGTGGCACTTTGCTCCTACTGAGGCAGCCCAGTGCCCTGGGGTCGGTCACGCAGCAACACATGGTAGGACAGCCCCATAGCGGACCATCCCTCCCTGTGGTGGGGCGCCCAGCGCAGCTCCGTGCCCATGGTGTCTGGTTGGGAAGAGATTTCAGTAGTGGTTGTGCACTGAGTTCTGCCCATTTGAGGCACATGTGTGAGCTGCCCCATGCAGCAGATTGCACACTTGTAAGTGATCAGTCCTCTCTAAAATGTGCTTTTATCAGTAAGGAAATCATTAACAACCTTGACAATTAAACTGTCATCACTGGATTTCAGAGCTATCATCCCATTCAGATGAAAGGGGTAATTCACATTTCTCAAAGTTTAGTTTCAGGCTCTCTGCAGACCCAGGCATTAGTTACACTGCATCAGTTACACTCAAGTCATGTTTTAAGATGTCTTTATAATATTCAAGACTAGAGATTTAAATGAAACTAAATCTTAGACTCTGAAGCCTGGGATACACCTTCTGGACTAAAAGTACCTGCTTGCTAGGCTGCCAGAAGCCAGACCAATGTTACCCCTGGCCATTTTTTTTTCACCTCTAGGAAATCCTACTTTGACCATTCTTGTTTTCCTGCCCACCACCTGCTTCCATGGACTCACATTCTGGGGAAGGTGGGAATGGTCACGGGTTTGTCTAACTTCGTCTACTCAGACATGCATAATTTTCTCTGAACTTTTACTTTTAGCTGGTCCTCTAAAGGTAAGGGACAGGGTTAAGACTCTTATCCCATGTCAAGTCTCCATATTGGAAATAGCCTAGCAGATGTGGTGGCCTTACTGTCATATCTCCCCATCACCACCCAGGCACCAAATTCTGTGCTATGTCCTTGTGAGATTCAGTCCACAGAGTGAGCAAAACTCAGCTGTACATTCGGACTGGCCAGACTTTTACTAGTTCCTAAGGAAGGAGGCCTGGCCCAAGCTGCTACTCCCACATGCTCAGAAAAGAGGAGCAAGTCAACCATTCTTGCTTGGGAGATGTGTGCATGACTCAGAAACCTAGCAGCCCACTCTGTTCATGTTTGCCTCTTCCTCCCATAGCACCTCAGTACACAAGAGAGATGGCAACATACTGACTTGGCCCCTGCTTGCTTACCTCTGGCTGGAGGGTGTCTTGCACAACAGACAGCCCAGTCCCTCAAGATGAGCAAGTGTATCCTCATCCATCACAGACCTCCACAAAATGCTGCCCAGTTCCACTTCACCTGCCTCTTACAAGCCCCAGTATCTGTTCGGTCCTATCCCTCTCCCAGCTGCAGAAACAAACCTGAGGAGCTGAAAGTTACTTACAGCTCTTGATGGCACCTGCTTCTAGAGACAGTGTCATTTATTCCTTCTAATAATGGACATCCCTGCTATTCCTCTTCTGTGACATATTCAGTGGGTAATAATTTGTGTCCTTGATTTTCAAATAACTTTTCAAAGTGACTCACTAACTGGTGTGTTGTTTGTTTTTTCTTTTCAGGCAATTTTGTACAGGTGAATTCAGGTATGTAGGGTCAATTTCTGCCTCCGCTTAAGCAATAAGTTCCCACAAGCAGGAAGAGTTATAGACAGACAGTAGGGATTAAATGTACTTATTCTTAACCTCCTCCTTGTTACCTACATGAATGCAAAATAGACTCTTGGAAAACACTCAGTTGACGTTAAAAATATTTTTGCTGTTTGTCGGACTGAATTGGCTACAAACTGCAATATTGCCAAACAAGCTGCCCTCACAAGCAGTGTAAGAGGGAAACATGTCAAGGCAGCACATAGGAGTTGATCTCCTCAGCTTGGAGCTCTTGGGACTAAAGACTCCTGGGGGGTTTCGTGCTGTGAGGTGCAGTGACTCCCAGTGCCCTTTCTTTTTCTTTCTTTGTAGGAAAGATGGTGTCCCAATAGGTTACAAAGGGAGCACTTTCCACAGGTAAATATTTTTCCTTCTAATGCTTAAAACAGCTTGGTGAACTATAGGCATTCCGGAGCCCTCTTTTTAAGGACATCCTTGAACTAAGAGGCATGCTGTACACATTAAAAAATAGTAGCTCTGAATTTGTTTTCCTTCTGTAACCTCTGCCTTGCACCTATAGTTTGCGGGACTCTGTCCACTGTAGTTCTTGCTAGCCCTTCTGTTGTACTTACAGAGAGAAACCACTGCCTTCTAGGTGCCTTTGATCCCACAGACAGGCAGTACCTCTCCTTTCTCTGCCTCTCTTGAGATCAGGGCTCAATTCCCTTTGAGTACATCATCAGATCTAACGGCCAAGGGCCACAATTCGTTTTATCTTAAACAGTGGGAATTATATATTGGAATTATATACATTATTACAGAATGTATGTGTTTGCAAATCATGATGCATTTTCATTGTTGTGGGGAGTATCTCTATTTTTCACTAACATATTAAGCTTCTCAAGCTTTTTCAGAAAGAAGTAACTAGTATTTTTTTTATTACTTCTTTAGAGTCATTAAGGATTTCATGATACAGGGAGGTGACTTTGTAAACGTAGGTACTCTGTGTTCTTTTCCTGTCTTAAAGGATGTGTGGTGTGTTGCTCTTTCCCGGGTAGATATTCATCTGTTTTCTATTCGCTATTTCTCTCATGAGAAGATATTACTTGAGAAGCTTCGCTGGTGTTTTCCTACTCTCTGCACTGGAATAAATTGGAACGTGCTAGGAAACAGATATCTGGGGACTGGGCAAAATGTTTTCTCTGCAGCAACTGGAACAGCATTAGCTAAATTGTCATGTATTTCTGACATGCAAAAATTCCCTTTCCTTGGGTGAGAAGTGCTGGGCTCTTCTGCTGCAATGACTGTCCTCTGCAAAGTGGGGTTTCCATGGCCTGCTGGAGGTGCCTCTAACCATGAGACAGTTCATTCCACACGACATCAATGTTCTCCATCCTCTTTTCTGGAGAATGTTTGGTCTGCCAGTTGAGGGTTGGATTTGACATTCATGTTTTCAAAAGGAAGTGTAATTTTCTGCACTACCAGATTAACCAGTGTTTCATAAACTGCATCTCACACTAGTGAAGAAAAATGATAATTGGCTGTGTGGAGAGAACGTTTGTATTTAGAGGAAACGGAGCTTCTACGAAGGGTTACTAAGTTTGATGGGTTTTCCCCTACTGAACTATCTCAGAATTAAAAGGTAATTTCTGCTTGAAATTTGTAGGCCTCAGGCTTTGATAAGAGGAGAATATTTTTTTAAGTTTGAGATTCATTGAGCTATTTGGGAGTTGGGAAAATTGCTATTTTTTTCAGTTTGAATTATGAGTTGGCAAAATGAATAAAAGCTGGCTGATCAAAACCAATCAGATAAAAATGGTTATGCTTTGATTCTTCATGATAGCTCTCACAAAACTGGCCACAGGAAGCTTGGTTTAGCTACCTTTGTTTATTTAAAGTCAGGTTCTTTATTCATGAGTGCTCTTCTAAACCCCACAGGGACGTTTGATAACTTCCAGTAGAAGCTTAGCAAAAATTACAAGCTCCATTGACACTTGTAACTTATTGCTACTGCTAATTATGAGAGAAAAATTGTTTATTACAGTAGAGCCAGGAACCAACTGAGAGCAGTTGTGCTGGGCATTCTACTTAGAGCAGTAGCCAGCCCCTCCCTTGAAGAACTTGTAGTTTAACCAGATAAGACTAACAGTGGCAGGGTAGAACGTACAGAGCAGAATAAACAGTGATAGCAGCAAACATCATGTTAGTGCCACTGTGCTTTTTCTTAGTGTTTGGTGTGCTTTAGTGAGGGAGGGTCTAAGCTAAACAGAAAACAAGGAGAGGGGAAGAGAGGAGGGGGTTGGGGCAAACACCAGTCAGCACAGGGGAAGAGAATGTCCAGTCAACTGGGGAAAAAATAAATCATCAGTGTCTAGAAGCCCCTACTTACACTGCTTCTGAAGCTGCTCTGCCAGTTTTGGCCTCAGGCAGGTTTGTTCTGACTCACTGTTTCTTTCCCTAAGCCTAAAGCCACATGGCTGAAGGCAAAGGGTATGCCACAGGAGTCCTAGTGCCCCCAGAGCCCTGCACCGTTCTGGATCTGGAGGGTCCTGAGGAAGCAGTAGCCCTCCTGCACTCTCAAAT